GATGTATTTAGTTTTTAGCGCAAGACAGTTTGCTATTACAGTACCAAAGGTGTAATATCTTCATAAGCTCAACAATAATATTAGAATTAGAAATATTTATTATTAGAGACAATTACCGTAATTTCCGGTAGTATCCACCCATTTTCACACTGTTCAGTTTTTAATCATGAACTTTTCTTCCAAAAATGTAATGGAAATAAATAGAAACTGATTTATTAAATAATGTATCTACATATATTAGTAGTGCATTCCAACCATAGCATTGAAAAACAAATTGATTTCATCGTATTTGTGATTCCTTCAACGAAAAAGTCTATAATTCTGTAAATATTAAATATTTTTGTTAGTGTAAAGTTCATGTCTGCAATAAGAATTCTTTCTTTCAAGTAAATTAAACCAAAACCACAAAACACTTAAGACTGCTGCACCCCAGTGGTGTGGAAAACATACCCTTCCCTAAAGAGATTTCATATTTTTTGTTACCAGTGATGATTTTCCCAATATCGTTTTAATCAGATTGATTATTATAAGAAAAAGTAATTACCTCTTCTTTAGCCATGGCTATGAGAAGCAACCTCGCATATTTTCTGAAAATGCAAGGAGCAAATGGCTCTTTTCTCAGGAAATAACCTGAAATCCTGGAGCAATATTTTCTGCTCACTGAAAGGTCTCAAGTTCAGTATATTTACACTTTAGTAGTGACATTTGTGATAAATCCTATTAGATTGCCGATTTCTTATTGCCTTATCACAAATGACTCAAACACTCTGTAAATTGTCACATCATGTAACCAAGCTGTAGTTAACATCTCTGCTAAAAGCTAAACGTAACTCCACAATCAAAATTCTAATCCCCAAATCCCCTAAACAAAGGACCAGGGCATGAAACAATGAAGAGATAGGGGGAGATGGACAGGCAGTATGAATGTTTTCTACACTGTATAATGATTGACAGTCATTTGAAAATGGGTAAACAAGTGTTTCACCAGAAGAACACCCGGAATAAGTTTATTCTGTAGTTCCCTGTGTTTCTGTATCGTTCGTAGCTTTATCTTCTTCCATTACAATCTTCTTCACTTGGCCCTCATCTGTGTCCTGGCAATTGACTGGGTCTTCAGCCTCGGCCACCTGTTCATGCTCTCGCTTCCTCGGTGAAGAATGGCCATACAGTGCCTGTTTACTCATCGTCATGGCGTCCAGTAATTCTGTGACAAACTCAGCAAGGTCGATTGTCACTTCTTCCCAAAGCTCTTCATCAAAATCAATACACGATTCTTTGTTTTCTCCTTTCAACCTCTCCAGTAAGACACCCTTGGATTTGTTGCGGATGAACAAGTAGGTTTGGAGCTGAATGTAATCATATTCAGGACACATGAAGCGATTCTTTCGATTCTTTACTTCAATCACACTATCTTCTGTTTCTGCATCCACCTTGCCACATACACTCCACTGTACACCATTGTATTCCATGTCCCTGTAGTACAACTCGGGTGCGATGGGGCGTTCGATCTCAATCCCTTTGGGTTTTCCGAAATCTAGAACAGCTTTGCCTTCCAACTGCGTTCCGCGATCCTTCGTGATTTTGGACTCAACTGCCTCTACGACCTCCTTCTTTTCGATTCTGGCCTTGGCACAAATCTCTTTCACAACCGATTCCACGGGTTTTTCTTCGTTCTGACAAAGTGTCTTGACCTCGGCTGCAACCTGTTCGACCACTTTAGCTGCTACTAGTGCTTGGTCTTCTTTGCTGCTTCTAAAGAGTTTCACTTTCAGGAAATTCAACGTTTTCCAATAAATTTTTCTCAGTGAAATGTCGCAAATTATTTTTCTTAGTTCTGCACCGAAATCGACGAGATCGGATTCTTCTGTCAAAGATGGAAGCTGCAATTCTTCACATTCTGTCAACATGGAGTGAACTTCAGTTTTGAACTGCAAGGCATAGGCAAAACAAAACGATTGTGGATGTGATCGAAGCCAAACTCGTTGGAAGGTTTCTTCTCTGGATTGATATCTATGCCGTCCAACAGCACTGGCTAATTCACTTGCAAAAATAACAATTTTTCTTCTCGCGTAATCGCTTGCCTTGCCCGCCATGTTTTGATGTCCGTTGCAAAAATGAAAAATTTGATTTTCACTTCCGGTTTTTATAACGGGGAGAGCGCGGGAAAAAATTGCTTTACTAGGGAGGGGTAGTGATAAGTATGGTTAATTAACGTGGAAACATATTTGTGAGAGCAAATTTACCAAAATATGATACCGTATTTTGAAAGGTGATTTACAAGTCTCACTATCAAAAGATATTAATTTTATGTATTCAGTGGGGATAAATCGGTTTATTGTCTGGTTCATCTCTCCCTACCCTAGTCAGTAGAATATTTCAATGTTCCGGTCGCTCGGGCAAGTCTGAACATGTCACGCTGACAAGTCTACACGAACCATAACATCTCATGACGTCATCGCGATTCATATGGGCAGGCATGATGTTTTTTTTATGTACCCCACTAGAGAGCCTGAAAACCAGCGTGGAAAGCAAGTACTGGCAAAACATCGGAAACCATTCAGTGGATGAAAACAAGAAATGCATAGGGTAGGGAAAATCGCAGATTTTGGTCATAAATAGGGTAAGGGATTTGGGAAACGCGCCGCACGCCCCCATCCAATTTTTCTGGGAGTACCCCCGAGCATCTGAAACATACTTTGCTTATCAAGGCGATTGATTATCTGTACTGAACAAACAATTAAGTGCATTTTTTACGGTAACTGCATAAATTCTCGCGTGCTCATATTGGCTAATTTTCTTTGTCAATAAGCGGACAGACACATGAATGTATAATTTGTGCGATGCGTCAACGAGCGAGAGCGGACAATTTGTTATCGTCGGGTTTGACAATTTATTATCTGCGATCCATTCGGCTATCGCCTCGTGGATCCGCATCTACTTTGACAACGTTGTGACGAAATTCATGATCAATAAGAGGACAGACGCATGAAAAACTGACTTCAATTTGTTAAATTGTGTTGAAAAATTGTAAACAGATATAAATTTAGCTCCTCTTATACGTGACGAGGATATAAACTTTGGTGGTTCTTTACTCTGGGATATTTCAAACTGACGACATCATGTGAAAACACTCTCGACTACATAACTACAAAGCCTTTAGTGTGACATGACATAATGAGACGAAAGTAAGCGGGCGAACATATCACTCCAAAGCACGCGCGCGCAACAATTCTCGAACGTGCGCGCAAACTTAGACGATTATGACGAGACGTGATGCAATGAATTGACAGAAGCTGACTTGAGACAGAAGTGTAACAGCTCTTGTAAGCTTGTAATTCTCTTCATTGTTAGCAGCTGTTATTGTTTTAGGGCTAGGGGCATTGTTTCTGTTGTTTGTTCTCAGAGGGGAACAAGCCATTCATGTGAGACCTTACGACAGCTGCTACATCACCCACTTGAGAACGTTCACTGTCGGCATATAACTGTCACTGTTTTTAATAGCAGGCTTACTTACAATTGATTGAGTGAGATAAGCTTTACTGAGACAAGTGAAACGGATGACAAAAACGGAGGTAACGTTATGAGCTTTAATTTCATCTTTTAATTTAATTTTCAGCCACTAAGTTTAGTTCCTAATGGCCCTATTCTCCCAGAGGAGAGCTAGGAATTAGTAGTAAGTTTAGTTCCTAATCACCAGAACATGTTTGCAGATAAACTGGCGAAGAGCAATAACTCATTCTCATTATGTAGCTTAGACTATGTAGGACTATGTAGCGTTCTCTGGTCTGATTGGATTGCCTCAGTTATGGCCCGGGTTTGGACAACATAATAGAAATTTTATAAACAGTAAACTTCTGTAAACGAGCTGGTTTTTAGGAATAAGTAATCTGAGAAAGAAAGAAACGTTGAAAAAATATGTCCGCAAATTTACAAAAAAAAAATAATATGTAAAAAAAAAATTCAGTCAGACCAATAGGGTTAAACAAACCGTTGGCCTTGGGACAAGTGCAAGCTGCAAATTCTGTTGGTTATGAAACAATCAAAAGCGAGCTGATGATTTTTGCGGGAACTTTTTCTTTGAAAGTTTTTGCGGTTAATGGCGAAAACGTTGCGATAGAGCGGTAATTTTTCTCATTACAATTACCTTTCTGTATGACCCGACTTCCAAGCACCACTTAATTTATGAATCAATCGGATGCGANGGGGTGGGGGAAGGTATATCATAACTCATACAGAACTTTGCCTGGTGTTTTGCAAAGAAAATCAAATCAGCTACTGACCAGACTTTTAGCCAAACTTATCAGTAACTCTGAGTTATGACATATTACAATAATGATGTAGAGTTACCTCTAATTATTAGAAATACATCTGCCTGCTGCAAAAAAATCATTCATTCAAACAGAATTGATGTTCTTGCATTGTTGTATGTACTGCAACAAATCTGACATGAATATATGTAACTTGTTTCTTGATCTACAGACTTATCTTTGGGTGCTAAATGATGACAGTGAGTTTGACTTTGCCTTCAACAAGCTTAAGGTTGCTGGCGTTATGACAGACTATCCTACAAGACTGCAAAATTATCTTAATGGTAGCAATATCCCTCGAGAGCCTGTAAACACTACCAGTGGAAGTGAAAGGAGTGAGCTGATTAAAAAAGAGTGACAGATTAGTCTTCTCCTGCCGAGTGCAAACTGAAAGCACTCATGGCAGCAACAATGATAGTGCACCAGTTATAGAGCTGGAAGTTTCTTTTTAGTTTTTTTTAAAAACTAGACTCATTAAGTGTCATATTTTAGTGAAACATTGTACTGTTTAGTGTGTATTTTCATTCAGGGTTCTCTTTAATTTAGGGAATAGAGGGCTTGATTCATAAGTAGACAGCTGACCCTAATAGTTTTTGAGTGCCCAAGGGACAAGCCTCTCAGGAGGTTTGGGGTCATCTTCCCCCAGAACATTTTGAAATTTAGATGCTCTGAAATGCTATTTTACGCATTCTTTTATAGATATTTCCTAAAAAGAAAATCAATTTTGGAAAAGTTCAAAATGCCAACAAAATCAAGGGATTACAAAGAATTCAACCTTTTTCATACAGTGCTAGCATAATTGAAAATGTGCAAGACACCCTGACCCCATGCCCCTTCTCTAGCTACAGCCTTGATTGTCCTGAGACAAGGACAGTCAAGGTTCAGTCACATTCCAAACAACCTGTATTTTCCCTAAATTACTCTTTACAACTTACATACATATTATTTCACGAATAGTGGGTGGCTCAGAAATTGAAGTAGCTGGCTTTTCAGCCATCAGCCGGCACTTAATGAAAACCCTGATCCATTTGAGTGCAAAAAGCAGTTCTTCGAAGTAACATAATTACACAATCTGTTATAGAGCATCAGGTATGAATCAAGCTCAAAATTGTCAAGTAGCTTGGTATACAGGCACTCCAGTTCATTCCTAGACCTTTGTAAACAGCGTCAATAACCAAACAAAGCACATCTATATTGTAATGTAGGTAATTAGTATTATGTTAGCAAAAATAGTTCATACAATGTATCACTGTTTTTGCAAGGTGATAAACATGTTGTATTCAATATTTAATTTATGTCCAACTGTAGAATATTTCCTTGTTTTAAAGATATAGCATGTCAAAAATCATGAAAATCACGATCAGATTGTGTACTGGCTATCAAAGGATTACCTACCTTTTGATTGAAAAGTGACTGATGATATCAAATTTTATTTCCTATTTTGTTCACTTTCTGTGATTATATTTACTTCCACTGATTGTTTATGTTTGGGTCACAACCAGATGGCATGGAATCCAGACCTCTGACCAATGTCGATGTATTTAGTTTTTAGCGCAAGACAGTTTGCTATTACAGTACCAAAGGTGTAATATCTTCATAAGCTCAACAATAATATTAGAATTAGAAATATTTATTATTAGAGACAATTACCGTAATTTCCGGTAGTATCCACCCATTTTCACACTGTTCAGTTTTTAATCATGAACTTTTCTTCCAAAAATGTAATGGAAATAAATAGAAACTGATTTATTAAATAATGTATCTACATATATTAGTAGTGCATTCCAACCATAGCATTGAAAAACAAATTGATTTCATCGTATTTGTGATTCCTTCAACGAAAAAGTCTATAATTCTGTAAATATTAAATATTTTTGTTAGTGTAAAGTTCATGTCTGCAATAAGAATTCTTTCTTTCAAGTAAATTAAACCAAAACCACAAAACACTTAAGACTGCTGCACCCCAGTGGTGTGGAAAACATACCCTTCCCTAAAGAGATTTCATATTTTTTGTTACCAGTGATGATTTTCCCAATATCGTTTTAATCAGATTGATTATTATAAGAAAAAGTAATTACCTCTTCTTTAGCCATGGCTATGAGAAGCAACCTCGCATATTTTCTGAAAATGCAAGGAGCAAATGGCTCTTTTCTCAGGAAATAACCTGAAATCCTGGAGCAATATTTTCTGCTCACTGAAAGGTCTCAAGTTCAGTATATTTACACTTTAGTAGTGACATTTGTGATAAATCCTATTAGATTGCCGATTTCTTATTGCCTTATCACAAATGACTCAAACACTCTGTAAATTGTCACATCATGTAACCAAGCTGTAGTTAACATCTCTGCTAAAAGCTAAACGTAACTCCACAATCAAAATTCTAATCCCCAAATCCCCTAAACAAAGGACCAGGGCATGAAACAATGAAGAGATAGGGGGAGATGGACAGGCAGTATGAATGTTTTCTACACTGTATAATGATTGACAGTCATTTGAAAATGGGTAAACAAGTGTTTCACCAGAAGAACACCCGGAATAAGTTTATTCTGTAGTTCCCTGTGTTTCTGTATCGTTCGTAGCTTTATCTTCTTCCATTACAATCTTCTTCACTTGGCCCTCATCTGTGTCCTGGCAATTGACTGGGTCTTCAGCCTCGGCCACCTGTTCATGCTCTCGCTTCCTCGGTGAAGAATGGCCATACAGTGCCTGTTTACTCATCGTCATGGCGTCCAGTAATTCTGTGACAAACTCAGCAAGGTCGATTGTCACTTCTTCCCAAAGCTCTTCATCAAAATCAATACACGATTCTTTGTTTTCTCCTTTCAACCTCTCCAGTAAGACACCCTTGGATTTGTTGCGGATGAACAAGTAGGTTTGGAGCTGAATGTAATCATATTCAGGACACATGAAGCGATTCTTTCGATTCTTTACTTCAATCACACTATCTTCTGTTTCTGCATCCACCTTGCCACATACACTCCACTGTACACCATTGTATTCCATGTCCCTGTAGTACAACTCGGGTGCGATGGGGCGTTCGATCTCAATCCCTTTGGCTTTTCCGAAATCTAGAACAGCTTTGCCTTCCAACTGCGTTCCGCGATCCTTCGTGATTTTGGACTCAACTGCCTCTACGACCTCCTTCTTTTCGATTCTGGCCTTGGCACAAATCTCTTTCACAACCGATTCCACGGGTTTTTCTTCGTTCTGACAAAGTGTCTTGACCTCGGCTGCAACCTGTTCGACCACTTTAGCTGCTACTAGTGCTTGGTCTTCTTTGCTGCTTCTAAAGAGTTTCACTTTCAGGAAATTCAACGTTTTCCAATAAATTTTTCTCAGTGAAATGTCGCAAATTATTTTTCTTAGTTCTGCACCGAAATCGACGAGATCGGATTCTTCTGTCAAAGATGGAAGCTGCAATTCTTCACATTCTGTCAACATGGAGTGAACTTCAGTTTTGAACTGCAAGGCATAGGCAAAACAAAACGATTGTGGATGTGATCGAAGCCAAACTCGTTGGAAGGTTTCTTCTCTGGATTGATATCTATGCCGTCCAACAGCACTGGCTAATTCACTTGCAAAAATAACAATTTTTCTTCTCGCGTAATCGCTTGCCTTGCCCGCCATGTTTTGATGTCCGTTGCAAAAATGAAAAATTTGATTTTCACTTCCGGTTTTTATAACGGGGAGAGCGCGGGAAAAAATTGCTTTACTAGGGAGGGGTAGTGATAAGTATGGTTAATTAACGTGGAAACATATTTGTGAGAGCAAATTTACCAAAATATGATACCGTATTTTGAAAGGTGATTTACAAGTCTCACTATCAAAAGATATTAATTTTATGTATTCAGTGGGGATAAATCGGTTTATTGTCTGGTTCATCTCTCCCTACCCTAGTCAGTAGAATATTTCAATGTTCCGGTCGCTCGGGCAAGTCTGAACATGTCACGCTGACAAGTCTACACGAACCATAACATCTCATGACGTCATCGCGATTCATATGGGCAGGCATGATGTTTTTTTTATGTACCCCACTAGAGAGCCTGAAAACCAGCGTGGAAAGCAAGTACTGGCAAAACATCGGAAACCATTCAGTGGATGAAAACAAGAAATGCATAGGGTAGGGAAAATCGCAGATTTTGGTCATAAATAGGGTAAGGGATTTGGGAAACGCGCCGCACGCCCCCATCCAATTTTTCTGGGAGTACCCCCGAGCATCTGAAACATACTTTGCTTATCAAGGCGATTGATTATCTGTACTGAACAAACAATTAAGTGCATTTTTTACGGTAACTGCATAAATTCTCGCGTGCTCATATTGGCTAATTTTCTTTGTCAATAAGCGGACAGACACATGAATGTATAATTTGTGCGATGCGTCAACGAGCGAGAGCGGACAATTTGTTATCGTCGGGTTTGACAATTTATTATCTGCGATCCATTCGGCTATCGCCTCGTGGATCCGCATCTACTTTGACAACGTTGTGACGAAATTCATGATCAATAAGAGGACAGACGCATGAAAAACTGACTTCAATTTGTTAAATTGTGTTGAAAAATTGTAAACAGATATAAATTTAGCTCCTCTTATACGTGACGAGGATATAAACTTTGGTGGTTCTTTACTCTGGGATATTTCAAACTGACGACATCATGTGAAAACACTCTCGACTACATAACTACAAAGCCTTTAGTGTGACATGACATAATGAGACGAAAGTAAGCGGGCGAACATATCACTCCAAAGCACGCGCGCGCAACAATTCTCGAACGTGCGCGCAAACTTAGACGATTATGACGAGACGTGATGCAATGAATTGACAGAAGCTGACTTGAGACAGAAGTGTAACAGCTCTTGTAAGCTTGTAATTCTCTTCATTGTTAGCAGCTGTTATTGTTTTAGGGCTAGGGGCATTGTTTCTGTTGTTTGTTCTCAGAGGGGAACAAGCCATTCATGTGAGACCTTACGACAGCTGCTACATCACCCACTTGAGAACGTTCACTGTCGGCATATAACTGTCACTGTTTTTAATAGCAGGCTTACTTACAATTGATTGAGTGAGATAAGCTTTACTGAGACAAGTGAAACGGATGACAAAAACGGAGGTAACGTTATGAGCTTTAATTTCATCTTTTAATTTAATTTTCAGCCACTAAGTTTAGTTCCTAATGGCCCTATTCTCCCAGAGGAGAGCTAGGAATTAGTAGTAAGTTTAGTTCCTAATCACCAGAACATGTTTGCAGATAAACTGGCGAAGAGCAATAACTCATTCTCATTATGTAGCTTAGACTATGTAGGACTATGTAGCGTTCTCTGGTCTGATTGGATTGCCTCAGTTATGGCCCGGGTTTGGACAACATAATAGAAATTTTATAAACAGTAAACTTCTGTAAACGAGCTGGTTTTTAGGAATAAGTAATCTGAGAAAGAAAGAAACGTTGAAAAAATATGTCCGCAAATTTACAAAAAAAAAATAATATGTAAAAAAAAAATTCAGTCAGACCAATAGGGTTAAACAAACCGTTGGCCTTGGGACAAGTGCAAGCTGCAAATTCTGTTGGTTATGAAACAATCAAAAGCGAGCTGATGATTTTTGCGGGAACTTTTTCTTTGAAAGTTTTTGCGGTTAATGGCGAAAACGTTGCGATAGAGCGGTAATTTTTCTCATTACAATTACCTTTCTGTATGACCCGACTTCCAAGCACCACTTAATTTATGAACCAATCGGATGCGAGTGGATAACTCGAGCGAGTTTCTTGGATAAATTCCTATCGCTCGAATAACAAATTCAATGTTCAACCCTAAATTCGACACTTTCTATGAAAATCTGTCGATTTCTGCCGCCAAATCTGGTTATTAATCATTCTGCATACTCAAACTGTGGTCTGTGATTGCTGACTGAGCAACATGTGGTTCAGTAAGAAAGCGACAAAACTTATCTTACGCTCACGTGAAAGCTTGGGCATGCGCCGAACCAAAAAACACTGGACAAAGGTTTCATGTTTCGAGTTTTGATTGGCTCATCGCGTCTCTCGTGACACCATGTTCATATCTGGGCAAGGGAGAACCCATTTAAAAGCCATCTGGTGTAGAAGTCCTGTCGCATTACATCGCAAGCATTTCCACGCATGCGACAAACTTCCGCTGGCATAAAATCCTTCCAGACGCAGATCTTTTTCTGCCAGGGACGTAAAGAGCCGACAATCCGGGATATCTTCATCTGGGACAATGAAATCGACCAATGGGAGATCAGGTCCTATATAATACTCAAGTCTTTCTCCTTTCTCATCCACGCAGAAGAATTGATGGCTTTGGTAGTTTTCCTTCTCGTCGCAAAGTGAACTGTAACTTTTGCAGACACTTGCACTGAGCTTGTAATCATTTTGCGAAGCGTATCGCGTCACTGTAAGGGCGCAGTCACGACCAATTGAGAATTTTACAAATTGGCGATACTTTTGCTGTGCTGTTTCTAGAAGGATGTGTTTCCAGTGAAGATACCGTTCAGTGAAGTCTCTCGTCTGTTCTTCTATTATTACATATGGAACAACAGAAGGGTAGCGTTCGAGCCGACGGATAAGTTTCTCTAACCTGAAGTATTGCGCTTCGCGGTACACATATAACGCAACAGAAGCTTGAGGAAGCAGTGACGCATCCCGCAAGTAGTTTAAGATATAGCCAAAGTATGTTCCGTCACGGTCAATGAAATATCTTCCTTCATTATCCACCTCTAGCTTGTGTCGCCCACTAAACATGGCTGCCAACATGGAATCTTCGTCCTTCAGAAGTGTTGAAAGGCGAGTGGTAAAGAAATGACCTCCAACATTAAGAGAAAGAATAGTCGGGAGCTACGAAAAATTTGCCAAGAAGAAACTTTGATTAGAAGAAATTATGAAGAAAGATTCACACCTCTCAAACTGAAGTAATTATCAGCGATTCACCATTTTGTAGGAAGATCCTGTGCTATACAAACGCGTAACACTCTTTTCTTTCAGAAGGTGACCTAAACAGTTTCCGAGAGACTTGACGAGTTGTGAACCTCAAAAGGTCGTACCTATTTATAAAACGTCAGTTACCCTGGTCTTTAACCAATTATGAATTTGTTAAATTAAACCTTACGGAAATGAAGTTTCTCCATTAGTTAACCATTCTTTCTTAATTCTTTACTCAGTTCCACAAATGCAACCCATTACCGGTGATCATAATCACGAATCAAACAAAATCTTCCGCTAAAAACATAAAAGTCACCACCAGTTTAATAGGATTTTCCATCTCGCATATGGAATATGAAAGGGCTCCGAACAAGAGCCAGATAATATAAATGGTGGACGCGGAAGTTTACAAGCTTAGACGTTGGTTTTAATTTAATTATTGTCACCAGCATCCAGTATCTAAGTGTACAGTGACATACATTATAATTACCGGTAATTTTGGACAAAAGAAAGCTGATTCAACCGGATGACCCAAGTCGTAAATTGAACACTGCATTGGCTCCGAGAGGACAAATATTTTTTTAATCAGAAGATAATCTTACATTGACCAATGCACGTCGTTGCGGCATTTTAATGAAATTTTTCTGTGTTTTCCAGGAACATAGTAAGGAGGTGTTGTCATTAAAACAGCTACATGAGTTTTCCTTTTTGATTTTATACTTCCCGGCGGCAAACCTTAGAAAAAAAATTTTTTTCTGTCCATGCGGCTTGAAAGTAGAAATTCGTACTAGATGACACTAAGCCAGAAACTAACCAAACAAATCTCTAAAACTACACGAATTTCACTGAAAAGCTAGGAACAAATTTGAAAACTCCCCTGCAAAAATGGAGATTCTTTTGTATCGTATCTCTTGGGCAATGTCAAAACCTGCTATACTGTTATTACTGTTATTAAACTTTTTTGGTTGACGTTTTTTAGTCAAACGGTTCGATCAATTTAGAAATTTGTAGTTTTGGAATATTGTCTTGTTGTTTACGTATTTACACCTGCTCGTTATATGGAACAAAGCGTTTGGCACTGAAAATGTGTCATAC